ACCAAACCAAACCATAAATAAATAAATAAATAAATAAATAAATAAATAAATTGGTACAACAAAAATCGAAAACGATTCAGTAAGACCAGTAACATTTATTTCATAATAATCTTGATTTTTAATTTGAATTCAAAGGGTCTTGTGCCAACAGTCAGATTTTCTGCCTAAATTTATATGCATTAAGAAGTTTCATCAACTGAAAAAATAGAAATAAAAGTTGAATTTGCTTTTTTGTTTGCTTGTTTTTAAACAGGGTCTTGTTTTATAACCCAAGCTGACCTTGAATTCGTCTACGTGGATTTCTTTTTTGTTTTAGTTTCTTTAAGATAGGATCTCCCTGTAGCCCCAGCTGGCCTGGAACTTGCTATGTAGACCAGGCTGGCCTAGATCTCATAGAGATCCACCTGCCTCTGCCTCCCAAGTGCTGGGATTAAAGGCATGTGCTACCACACCAGGCACTCACAATCACTTTTAATTCTATCTCCAGGGAATCTGATGCCCACTCTGGCCTCTCTGGGTACCTGTACTCATGTGTACCTATCCCCATACATATACATACAAACACACACATAATTCAAAAATAAAATAAATCTTAAAATACATAATTTTATGATCAAATATTATCACATATATTCTGATGAGCGAGTTGGTGCCCCATCAAGATGGTAAGGAAGAATATTTAATCAGATCACAAGTTGTGGAAGCTTTGCTGAAGAATTACCCAAGGTAGTTATCTACTATTGTGTAACAATATTATTAAAACCTAGTATGTTACAAAAAGATGCATTCTTTTAAATTTTTTTTTCCAATACAGGGGATTGAACCTAGGGCCTCACACGTGCTAGGCAAGCACACTACCACTGAACTCTATCACCTGCGACAGAGGACGCTGTTGTATCCCCTGGAACTGGAGTTACAGACAGTTGTTAGCTGCCATGTGGGTGCTGGGATTCGAACCTGAGTCTTCTGCGAGTGTTCTTAACCACTGAGCCAACTCTCCAGCCCCTCTTTTTACTTTTTATCTTGAGATGCAATGTCACTAAGGTTGGCCTTGAACTTACTCTGGAGCTCAGGCAAGCTTTGAATTTGTGATCTCCCTCAGGCTCCACATTAACTGGCACGACAGGCCTGAGTCACCAAGGCCTGGAACGACCTTCCCTTTCCCTTCCTTTCCCTTCATTTCCCTTTCTCTTTTTCCCCACCCCCATGCCCCAAGACAGGGTCTCATTATGTCACTTTGACCAATCTGGAACTTGTTGTGTGGGCCAGATTGTTCTTGAACTTTCAGCAATCCTCCTGCCTCTGCCTCTTGAGTGCTGAGATTACAGATGTGCATCATCATGCCTAGCAAGATGCATTTAGTAATTCACAGTATCTGTGCTCGGCTGGGTCCCCTGCCAGGCTGAAAATCAAGATATCAATCACAATTGGGGTCTCATCGAGGCTGGAATGGGGAAGGATCTGCTTTTGGATCTGCGTTCAGGTTCATAGAATATGTTGACAGCATGCGGTTCTTTAAAGTTTCACAGACTGAGGGAATATTCCATTCTGTTGCTGGTCGTTGGCTAGAAACCACTCTTAGTTTCTGGCTGTGTGTCCCTCCCTATGTGGTAGCTTATATCATAGTGGCTTGCTTCTTCAAAGCCAACAAGAGAGAATGTCTCCTAGAAAGATGGATGTTACCATTTTCTGTCACGACCACATGTACATAATCAAGTACATCTTGTGGCCTTTGTCATAATCAATTGGTTGGAAGAAGGTAGCAAGTCCATATTCAAGGGAGAAGGATTAGGTGTGGGCCCCAGAAAGAGGCCACTAGATCTGCACACCGCACTGCTCTGTATCTGGCACGCTGATAGAAGAGGGTCATGGGAAGTTGTCTATTGACTGTGGCTCAGGGCGTGATGTCTCTCAGGTCTTGGGCCAAGGAAAGAGAGGCAGCCCTTTCATTGGGCTTTTAGGAGAAGTTCCTGAAGGACGTAAGATAATGGGGCTATTTAATACCAGAAGAGAAGTTAATGGACTCAGATGATTTAGGTAAGAAGTTTGGGCAGTGATCCAGAGGAGAGAGTCGGAAGACTAAACTTACAGTGTTTGAAAAATAGTTTCCAAAGGGGCTTGAAAGATGACTCAGTGGTTAAGAGCACTGACTGTTCTTGCAGGGGACCCAGGTTTGGTTCCCAGCACCCACATGGTGGCTAACAAGTGTCCATAACTCCAGTTCCAGGGGCTCAGATGTGCTCTTCTGACCTCCATGGGCATTGCACAACATGGGTTACATACATGAAGGCAATGCAGTCGTACACATAAAATAAAAGTAATAAATAAAAAAAATTTTTGGTCTTTTTAAGACAGGGTCTCCCTGTAGCCCCAGCTGTCCTGGAACTCACTATGTAGACCAGGCTGGCCTTGAACTCACAGCGATCTGCCTGCCTCTGCCTACCGAGTGCTGGGATTAAAGGTGCCACCACGCCCGGCATAAATAAAATATTAAAAAAAAAGAAAAATAGTTTCCAAGCCAGCTTGTTATATAACTGAGGACAACCTTGAATTTCTGATCCTCATGCCCATAATCCCAGCACTCAGGAGTCTGAGGCAGGAGGACTGTCATGAGACTGGTTAGGGATAAATTGTGAGCTTAACTTGAGCTACAGGGTGAGACTCAAAGGGGGCAGGGGCTCCCAAATGGAGTATCCTTGTCAATTCATTGGCTGTAAGCCCCTGCTAAGGAAGGATGGTGGCAATGTCCTCCTGCAGGTGTGGCAGTGCGGAGGGAAGATCGAGGTCTTGCCCTGCTCCCAGGCGGCTCACATGGCGAGGCATCACAAGGCCTATGCCTTGGATCTCAACAGTTTCTTGAGGCGCAATGCTTTGTGGGCGGCTGTAATCTGGATGGGCGAACACAAGTACATGGTCTACTTAGCCTGGAACATTTCTCTCCAGGTTGGTCATGGACTGAATAGAAGGGGAAATGCAGGACGAGGAAGTAATGGTAATGGTGGGGAATGATGAAGTCAGCACAAACACGCCATCCCAGCCTTAAGAAATGAGTGTAGTCTTGAGTGTGATAGTGGTTAACATCTGTATATAACACTATGTCCAGATACTGTTTTATCTGTTCATACACACACACACACACACACACACACACATATATACACACACACACATATATATATATGCTTTTTTTAATTTTTGAGACGGGGTCTTGCACCATATCTTTCTGGCCTGAAATGTACAGCAGTCCTGCCTCAGTCAGCCTACTGGCTTATATACAAATTCTTTAACCATCACAGCACACCTACAGGGTATGTTTTATAGGGGAAGAAGCCAGGCAGAAAGAGCGTTGAAAGGTTAACAGATATTGAAGGTAACACATGGGCAGGTAGTGAGGAGCAGAGATGAGACTCAACCAAGCAAGTCCGACTTCCAGATTCCATGTTCCTTATCTTATACCAGGAGAAGGGTTCAGCAGTAGGTCTCTCCACATCCCTCTATCTCCACCCCTCTCCAGGGTCTCATGTAAATCAGGATGACCTCCAACCTACTATAAAGCTGAGGATGACTTTGAATTTCGGATCCTCCTGTCTCTACTTCCCAAGTGCTAGGACTATAAGCATGTGCCACCACACTCAGTTTTATGTAGTGCTGTAGACTGACCTTGAGGCTTCATGTATGCTAGGCTAACACTCTGTCAACTGAGCTACACTCCCAGTCCCAGGCGTTTGCTCTTTTAAGAGGGCATAAATATGGCAGGTGGCATATAGGTATGAGAGGATTCACATAAATGGGCGTAACTTGGGCAAAGCCCAGTTTTCCACTGCTGTCTGAGGCTGGTGTGCTATGCTGTCTCCTCTTCCTGTTCCTGCTTCTGGCCCAAGTTTGTGGAGCCAGGTTTAGCATGCAGAGACCAATCACCTTGTTGGCACCTTCTGCCCCTTCTATCACAGCGGATGTTAAAGAAGGCTCCAGAAAGCTGGGAGTCTGAACAAAGGGAGGCCCTGGAACTGATCTAGGTGGAAAAGCCTAGAAATGAGGTAGGGTCAGGAACCAGGTTTATCAGAGGGAGAACTTGGTCAGGAGAATGTAAAAATGTGCAGAAATACCTGAGTCTTCTTTAGGATTCAGTCATGAAGGTCCTTCGTAAGGTGCTGTCAATCTCCTGAAATAGGCTCACTGTTGGGATAGGTGGGGATTCTTGTGGCCAACATAGCAGGCTTGGTGGGCAAACACGTGCCCTTCAGGGCATCCTTAGCTTACTGTCTCTACAGCATCATGTCAGGACTGCCAAGCCTCAGAGGAACTCCCTAAAACAACAAATTAAGTATGATTAGAAGTGAATCTTAAAGGAATACTCTGGAAAGATGGTAGATACATGCATGGTTTCTCCATTTCCTTCTCGACTTGGCCCTCTTGGTTTTCCCTCACTTTGATTCTTTACAAATTTCACCTTTAAAATGCTTCTTTTAGGGACTGGAGAGATGGCTCAGCAATTAAGAACACTGGCTACTCTTGCAGAGGACATAGGTTCGATTTCCAGTACCCACACGGCAGCTAACAACCACCTGTAACTCCAGTTCCAGGGGATCTTACGCTCTCTTCTGACCTCTGTGGGCATTGCACGACATGGATACACTTACATATATGCAGGCAATATACTCAAACACATTAAAAAAATGTTTCCCTTAAACTCCAAAACTTGATGCTGGGAGTTTTATTAAAGTCCTTTCTGGCCATTGTAGGAGTATTTTATGCCTTCTTGAAGCCAGTAGCTCTCAGACATGAGAGTGAGGAGAAATTGGCTTGAGTGGCTCCATGCAGGCTTTGTGAACATCTGAAGCTGTCCAAAGCTCCTCAAGGCTTTTCTATTTCCCTGGAAGTAAAAAGCATCAAGGTCATTTCCAGGCTACCTGGAAACAGTTCCCTCATATGTGGTCCATACCAACTGATGGAGTCAAGGGTGTTTCATGGTCTAATGAACAGATATTCTCAGTATTTTCTTTCTAGAACTCTGGAATAGACTATGGAAACATTTCTTCCAGAAAGGCACTCTGGGAGAAACTGAAATGTAAAACCTTTGATTGGTACCTGAAAAATGTCTACCCAGAGCTGAAGCCAAACCCGAACATTGTGGCCTGCGGAAGAGTATGTATTGGAAAACTACAGTTCAGATTTCAAGGGTTTCATTGTAGACAGAGCTAGAAACCCAGGTTATATGATTGCCCAGTCATGGGGGTGGGGGGTAAGTGGGGGAGGGCATGGGGAATGGGAGGGTGGGATATGTTCCCCAAATCCACCCTGCCTGAGATCCCCTCCCACTCCTACTCTACCTTTAGCTCTTGCACCTGAGAGGTTTTGTTTCTTTTTCTCATTCACCCTGGGTTCTTTTTCTTCCTTACCTCCGAACCCTTTGCAAACTGCAGCCCTTGCTCGACCCTTATCCATTCTTTGACCTGAAACTTGCAGGATCAGATCATCCCCTGCTGGTTGTGTTTTCTGACATCCTTGGTATAACAACAAGAAAACGCAGGACCCGAGGGTGGGAGTCTTCTTTTTCTGCTTTCTTCCAACAGCATGGTTGTGTTTTCTCCTTTCAGATGAGAAATTCATTGAACGAAAACATTTGCCTGGAGAGAGAATTAGGTTCCGGCAACATTCTCATTATGGATCTTTGCCATGAATTAAATTCACAGGTATCGTTCTCAGGCATCCTTGCCCAAAAGGATGGGTCTGCACTGGCTCTGACCCTGAGAACCTGTGCCAGATTAAGACTTGGTGTTAGAGGATGGGGAAGACAGGAGCTGAGAATTCTGGGTAATTATGTGCTGTTTGCTTGAAAAGTCACAGTACAGCCGGGTGTGGTGGTGCACGCCTTTAATCCTAGCACTTGGGAGGCAGAGGCAGGCAGATCTTTGTGAGTTCGAGGCCAGCCTGGTCTACATAGTGAGTTCCAGGACAGCTGGGGCTACAGGGAGACCCTGTCTCAAAAAAGACAAAAAAAAAGTCACAGTACAATAATGACAGAGACCCACGAGGGAGGGAGGTCAGGCAGAAAAGCTCTGTTGTATGACATTCAACCTGCAGGTGATATGTTTACTGGCAGACACCTCCAATCTATTCCTGCCCTGTCCTCCCGTGTCTGAGAGTGGACAAGTGAACCCACCTAGGCCCCTGCAGAGAAAGAGGCAGAGCTTAGAGAAGCGAGATGGAAAGTCACTGAATGGGATAGAAGGGATGTGGTACCAAGTACGTGTGGATGATATTGAACTCCTTGTCCTCCTGCTTCTTTCCACCTTCCAAGTGCTGGGATTCCAGGCATGTGTCAGCATGCCTGGCTCACGCAGTGCTGGGGATCAAACCCAGGGCTTCCTACATGTTGGGCAAGTGCTCCACCAACTGAGCTATGTCGACAGCTATTTTTTTACTTTGTGCATTGTCCTTCCAGCAAACTTTTCAAGGGTAGAAGTGTTGTCCACAGAACAGTTGAAAACATGAGTCACAGAGACAACCTGCACACCCACTGAAGGACAGTGTCAGGCTGGGAATCTGAAGGAAGCGTTCTTCACTATGATCAGTGTAGCTTGGGCTTACACCGATGGCATCTTAACCTCAATTGAGCGATTTCTTTATTCATACAAGCCATGGTTCTTTGGGAACTGGTGTCAGCCCACTATTAGTAACTGTGACAGAATACCTGAGACCAACAAATTAAGGGAGAAAAGATTTATTTTGGCTCAAAGTTCAGAAGTTTCAATCTTGATGGCAGGATCCATTCATTGTCATGGGCCTGTTGTGAGGCAGAGATGCCTCCAAGTAGCCTCCACCTCCCAACAATGCCATCACATTATGAATCAACCAATAGAATGAATCCACTGATGAATCAATGATTGGATCCACCAGCTGATCACCAACAACTCAACACATGAGCATTTTGAGAGCTACATTATACAGAGTCTTTGTAGGAAAGGAAGCAGGCTAAGTGCCCTTTCCTGTGCCCGGCCTTCTCTGTGGAATGGACTGGGGCTGGTGGGAAAGGCAGTGAGATCCTTATATCCCAGGATAATCCATGCTTTCCATGGGTCTAGGCCACCCACCTTCACGTCCTCTGCATGGCTGAGGCCTCCCTGCTGACTGGGCTCACCAGGGGTCCCTTGCTCTCTCACAGAATGTATACTACCTCTGCACTGGGGAGCTGTTCGTGGGACCACTGGTTGCAGAAGCAGGTGCTGATGACTTCTACCTGGTGGACTCTGGCAAGGGGGTGAAACCAAGATTGGAGCCATGTTCCTCATCAATGAATGGTAGACTACATATATATTGGGATTTTCAGCCAGTGAGTTACATGGATTTGAAAGGATAGATCTAGCCAAATACAGCAGGAGAGGTTCAGGAGTGGCTTCATTCGAGAATATTTTAGGAAAATTAGCTTCTGTGGCAGCATATAGGGAGAAATTGCAAATTTGGAACTGGATTTGAAGCCCAGTCTCCTGAACACTGAAGGACAGTTAAGTGGGAAAGATAGAGCCAGGTGTGGTACCGCACGCCTTTAATCCCAGCACTCAGGAGGCAGAAGCAAATGGATCTCTAGGAGATCGAGGTCAGCTAGGGCTACAGGGAGATCCTGTTTTAAAAAGATTGAAAAAGCCGGGCGTGGTGGCACAGGCCTTTAATCCCAGTGCTTGGGAGGCAGAGGCAGGCAGATATCTGTGAGTTCAAGACCAGCCTGGTCTACATAGGGAGTTCCAGGCCAGCTGGGGCTACAGGGAGACCCTGTCTCAAAAAGACCAAAAAAAGAAAAAAAAAATGGGAAAGATACTTGAGATTACTTGGGCTCAAATCCTAGTCTAGTCACTTTTATAAGGTTCCTGATCCTCTCTGTAGCTAGGTTTCCTCACCTATAAAATGAAGATAATAAATATCTACTTTATGGGTTTATAGGGAAGGTTAAACAAGTAGCACATGACAAGCATTTGGGACAGTGCCTGGCACACAGAAGTGTTCAATGAATATGACCCATTGCATTTAGTTCCACTATTAATAAAAGAGAGTGGGGACTATAAGGCAGAAACCTGAAGGAGGCTAATGTGAAAACCCTGCCTTTGGCAGACTGTGGTGGAGCGCATAGGAGGCTGAAGCAGGAGCTCGAGGCCTACTTGGTCTATGTAGTGTGTTCCAAGCTAGCCAAGGGCTACACAGTGAAACCTTGTTTCAAAAAAAAAACAATCAAAGCTCTGACTTTAACTTCAATATCAAATGACTGGGAACAAGGTAGAGAGAATTTGTGAGAAGTCACATTGACAGTGACTCGAGGGGCCTCATTGACCACAGTTTATGCATGAACTTTCCTCATGTCTACTCTGCTCCAAAGGCTTATGTGTTCTTAGGTCATTTTGGTAGGATTGTGATGTTCTGAGGGGGAGAAGCCATCTGTCTGTGATTGTGCCTCTAAACATCTGGATACTGTATTAGGCTCAGGAACCACATTTTGAAAAAGACAATTAGCCTTTGTTTTTTTTTTTAGGCAGGGTCTTATTCTGTAGCCTAGGCTGGCCTGGAACTCAAGATCCTTCTGCCCCAGCCCCTTGAGATCTAGAGTTAAATTCATGAGCCACCATGCCCAGTTAGCAAATAGCTTTTTAAAAATTATTTTTTAAACTTTACTTTTATTTACACATGTGTCTATGTGTGTGTGCTTGCACATGTGTACAGGTGTCCTTAGAGGTCAGAAGGGTGTCAGAACTCTGGAACTAGAATTACAGTGGTTGTGTGTTACTGGATGTGGACCCAGCAGTGAACCTAACTTGGGTTCTTTGCAAGAGCAGCAAGTGCTTTTAACCACTGAACCATTTTTCCAGCCCCACAAATAACTTTTTGTTTGTGTTTTTGTTTTGTTTTGTTTTGTTTTGTTTTGTTTGAGAAAGGGTCTCCCTGTTCTATAGCCCCAGCTGGCCTGGAACTGACTTGCTATGTAGACCTGGCTAACCTGGATCTCACGGTTGATCACTGCCTCAGCTTCCTGAATGTTGGGATTGTTGGGATTAAATGCATGTTTCACCATGTCCAGCCCATAAATAACTTTTTTTTTTTTTGGCCTTTTTGAGACAGTATCTCCCTGTAACCCCAACTGGCCTGGAACTTGCAATGAAGATGAAGCTGGCCTTGAACTCCCAGAGATCCACCTGCCTCTGCCTCCCAAGTGCTGGGATTAAAGGCATGTGCCGCCACCCTCAGCCCACAAAAGTGAAGGAGTGTTCTTGAGAGTGCATGAAATTGGGTTGGGGGACAAAGGGGAGGGTGCAGATAGGGGAGGGTGCAGATAGGGGAGGGTGCAGGTAGGGGAGGGCGTTCTAAATATGATCAAAATATATTGTATGGAATTTGCAAAAATCCAACTAAAATGAAAAAAACAAAAACAAAAACAACCCAAAACTTCACATGGTGGGGGGTGGGGGGTGGCTTACTACCAGCCCAGCAGCTTTAGATGTCTAGCAAGAACAGGCTGCCTCACACTGTCAAGACTTCTTTGATCACCGGTAGTCACCAAGAAGAGCATCTGGCAGGCCTAGTGTGCAACTGTGTTTTAAAATCCTTACTGAACTTGTCACTTTATGTACAAACCTAACAAGGTGGAACTGATACTTTTATAGCTTAATAGATTCAATTTCCTTATAGCTTAATAGATTAAATTTCCTTAATCACTGAAGACTCTATTCACAAATAATTCTCAGTATTTGACTTAAAAAGTCAGTCTCTTTAAGTGTTCCAAAGTATTTGTTCACGAAGTACAATCACAATATGAAATCACGAATTTAATTACTCAATTACAGATTTTTTTGTGGTCTTTTTGAGACAGGGTCTCCCTGTAGCCCCAGCTGTCCTGGAACTCACTATGTAGACCAAGCTGGCCTTGAACTCACAAAGACCCGCCTGCTTCTGCCTCCCAAGTGCTGGGACTAAAGGCGTGCACTGCCACGCCCGGCTCAATTACAGATTTTAAAATCCATATCACAAGGTTAATTTGTAAGATGCTGACTTTTCTTAAACATAGCAAATTTGTCCTGATAGCAAATAGAGAATCTTTAGGGAATAGTGTGTTTGGTTCCCTTCGTGCCTATGTTTTATGGTAAGTCTCCCAGGAATTAAGGCTATTACCTGTCCTAAAGACATAATTATGTATCCCAAACATTTGGAAAGTTGTCTTCCCAAGAGAATTTTGAAAGAGGACTGTATTAGCTACTTTTCTCATTATTGTGGCAAAATACCTGACAAACGAAACTTAAGGAAGCAAGGGTGTTTGGGGGCTCACGGTTTGAGGGGCCACAGCCTACCATGGCCAGGAAGGTCTGGTGACAGGGGGATGCAAAGATGAAGACTGCTTTCTTCCCCTTTCCCTGTTATTCATTCTGAGACCCCAGCCCATGGGATTGTGTCATCCAAATGTAAGATGGGGTTTTCTTTCTCAGTTAAACCTCCCTGGAAATACCCAGGAGTGTGTTTCCTGGGCAATTCCAAATCCCGTCAGGTCAGCGATGGAGATGAACCATTGCAATCTTCTCAGTTATAGAGGTTGATGAAAGAATAGAGATTTTTAGCTGAATGTGAGATCCCGCCTACAGAACAGCAGGATACTCTGGCTGCTCCTCTGAGGCCCAGGCCAGGTCTGTTTTTATGAGTCCTATGACGAACACTCCCAAAGTTAAAGAAGGGTGTGGCTGGGCAGCTTCTGGTGTAGTGCCTACTGGTAAGTTCATTTGAGTCAATTCTCTCTCTCTAATCCCTCCTATCCATTTTAGGTTTGAGGAACAGAAGCTTTTCAGATATGAAAATGATATTTGATTCGATTCTGGGCCTCTTTTATGCTCTATTTATTTTCTAAGCCCAACTTACCAATTATTCCACTGAAAATTTTCGAAAGAACTGAGAGGCAGCTGTGACTAGATAGTCTCTGCTTACCGCTACTCTCGTGATTCTGAGTCTTGAGTCATTCAGAGGAGGCTGTGACCTCTGAGGAGTTGAAGGAAGCCAGTGAGTGATTGAGAAGGGACCTTGCCAGGAGAGGAGGGGTCTTGAGACACATGGACCTCCATGTGCCAAGTCTGGCATTTAGAGTAAGGCTTGGAGGGTGAATGAAGGGGATGATGGTAGCAAAGACCTACAGGGCCTCTGGAGGTGGGCGGAGGAGGGGGAGCAGCCATGGGGAAGCATGTGGAAAACAGACGTGCATTAGGAAAGATTTGATCTCCAATAGCGGCAAAGATTTTTCTCATTCTTGGGTTGAATACTATGTAGTTATCCAAGTGATGATTTGAAAAAGCGTTTTTATAAAAGGAAAAAACACACAATTCAATGTTAAGCCTAAAGAGCAAGATCATTGTGGGATGTGATAGCACACACCTGGAATCCCTGCCCTTGGTGTGATGCCTCACGCCTATAATCCTAGCACTTGAGAGTTGGAAGTGAGGGACTTGGAAGTTCCAGGCGTTGCTGGAAGTGGTAAGGGTGTGGGATGTGTAAACAGTGTCCACTCCCTCCTCCCTTGGTCTCAACCACAAATGGAGGTACAATTCCACCAAAATTCACTCTGGGAAACCAATGCCTTTATTGGGCTGGTTTACAGAGCAACAGGTGAGGGTTGACTTAGAGGAGTGTGGGTGCTCCCCCCACCTACGGCCGCACTGAAGTCTTCACCTAAGCATATAGCAGCACAAAATGGCGAGACTTTCTCCTAGTTTTCCTCAGTCTGTGTCCTCTAGTCCTACTCCCAGGCCCCAAGCAAATCAGTGCAATTGGAGTCTAATTGCTAATCATGGATTGGGTGGTGTGGCTGGATTCTCAGGTAAGGGTCCCTGTGACTCGACCTGTCCCTCCTTTCACCTGTCCCTCCTTCCATGGGAGGTGGGTAGCTGTAAAGAGTCAGCAAGCCCAGCTTTGATGAACTTAGGCAAGAAGGAAGAGTTGAGTTCAAGACGATGGTGTCCATCCATCTGTCAGAGGACAGTCCTATACAACATCAGGATGGAATGATTTGGGGCACATGTGTTGTGGGGCAGTTTGTGATGGGAAGGGGTGGGAGGCAGGGAGGTGGTGGTAGAGAGGAAGCAGAGCTCTGCTTGATGATGGTTCCCTGGGCCAGGGTTGCTGGCCAGACCTTATGGTAGTGTTTAGATCAGTGATGGTGAGGACAGGAAAGGACTGGTCCAGGCACCAGCTGGCTAAATGCTGGGACTGATTGGTGCCAGGTGTGAGAGAGGAGGGGCAGAGAGGGCCAGGAGCGAATACAGGACCCAGAGAGCTGGGAGTCTGCACAGTCTGCAAGGTCACCAATTGCTGAACTGTGGTGATAAGAAGATAGGAACTGAGAGGGGTCAGAGGGAATGTGTGGGAGCAAAGAGGATTGGCCTTCCCCCTCTTCCAGAGAGAAGGGGCAGACACAAAGGTGGGCTTGGTGTCAGGCACAGGATAGTGGAGGAAAAGTAACTGCAATTTCAACCTTCCCATTAGCACTAAACCCATTTTAGAGATGTGGTAATTGAAAGAAGGAGAGGATATGAGGTCCTGTGGTGTGTATATGGGAATTGAGGACTCTACACACATTCTCCTGCAGCAATGTCCAATGAGCCATGGAAAGACGAGAAAGCTGCCCTGAGGTGGGGGGGGTAGTGATCACAGATTTCCGTGTGTCTTCTGTTCTACACAGAGGGGTCTTATTAAAGGGCAAAAAAGGAAGGGTGGCCCTGAAATGTTATGTGGACTCTGGTAGAGAAGTTCAAAGACAGGTAACAAAGGGTGGTCCCCAGCACTGCAGGATGCAGCCATGCCATGGGGTGAGTGTTGAACTGCTGTTGCACTTGCCTAGTTCGCATATACAGTTGGACAAAGAGCCCTGGGTGGGAAGTGTGTGTGTGTGTGTGTGTGTGTGTGTGTGTGCTTGCGCGTGCGTGCGTGCGTGCATGCATGCGTGCGTGTGTGTGTGTGTGTGTGTGTGTGTGTGTGTAATTCTAGACTTTCTCTTTCTCCTTGGGTGACTTGATGAGGGTTCAAAAACCTTTCAGCCTGGATCTGATCACCCAGAGGAGTCAGGGGTTATGCTGCCCAGGAGGAGCATCTTAACTGAGCATCTTAACTCTGTCTTTCCTCCCATCCAGGAAAGAGCTGTTATAAATAAGGACACCAAACGATGTCTGGAGAGCAGGAAGGACCACTCAGGGACCTACAAGCCTGTGTTGCAGATCTGTACCAAGCAAGTGTGGAAAATACAGCACACGATTGGAAACCAGGGCCACTAATCACCACCAGGGAGCCCCAGGGCGCTTGGATTTGGAGTGCCACCTCTTGCAGCTGGAATGGCTTCTAACCCCCCAGTGCTGCTCAAAGTGATGGTCTCTCTCTCTCTCTCTCTCTCTCTCTCTCTCTCTCTCTCTCTCTCTCTGACTCTCTCTCTCTCTCCTTTCTCTGTGTATGTGCTGCGACTTCAAAGATTTGGGCAAGTGTCTGAGTGTCTCTGCTGGGGGGAACAGCAGACGCCTCACCCCCAGCTTGCTTTCTGAAATCGTGATATGCATCAAGCACCATTCTGGGAAACTCCTCGAAATAGCTGACATCATCTGGCTGCACTTCAAGGAGACAGCAAGGATGGAAGTTTATCTTTGATTTCCACCAACGCTGTTTAGTCTTTATTCCCAACAGCTACTATCAGCGCTTGTCCCACACCTCCTCCCTGCTGATGTGCTCCAGAATGTCGTGGGTTGATCCACGTGAGAGGCTTGGGTCCTCCTCATCCCCGCTACTCAGGTGGCCTCAATTCCCTTTCCATGTGGACTCTCCTGAAAGATACAGCAAATTGACATGTGACTTTCCCAAATCCCTTCACTGTGTCTCCATAGCAGGTGCTTTTGGATGGCCACCCTCTCCCATGCCAAAAGCTCGAAGAGGCAGAGCAGAGGAGTTCCTTGTCTGTCAAACTCTATAAAAGTCAATTAGAAAGTCTGGTTGGGTCTGGCTCTTTCTCAAAGTAGCTTCTACCAGTCCATGACTTGGTCTTACCCATTTTCTCTAATTGCAATTTTTGTTTGGTTTTGTTGTACACTTAATAAGTAAATAAATAAATGCAATTAATCAATCAATTATTTTCTTTTATTGCGATTTCTTGGTTTTTTGTTCTGTATACTCAATAAGTAAATAAATGAATGCAACTAGTCAAAAAAGAATATTACTAAAGATATTAGTATGAAAATTTTCAGAAACAAAGACTAAGCAAATTTATAGCTTTCAGTGTCTACCTGGAAAATTGAAATGAGATTGTTAGAAAAGTTTTTTAAAAATGTGCCAGCTGGCATGATGGTCCACACATACAGTCCCGGCACTTGAGAGGCTGAAGCAGGAGAATTGCTGTGAGATCAAGCTTAGCGTACGCTACACAGTGAGAACTTGTCTTAAGCAACAAAAGCAAAATCAGAGAAGAGCATTCATTCCCCACAAAACCAAACCAACCAAAGACATCAATAAAATAATGAAAAGCAATACCTGGTAGCCAAGGAGACCAAAGACAGGTGGACTCAGATACGTGAAGAGACATTTGACTTCATTCACAGAGGAGAACAGACTGAAGGTGCACAGAGTAACTTTCCACTCAGGTTGGTGGGTAACAGTGCATAGCACATTCTGTGGGCAAGGATGCAGAAAACAGACTATCTCCCACATCTGTGGCAGGGATGCAGACTGGTACCAGTCTTTGTGAGGAATTTGGCAATATCTGAAAACACTGTAAGTGCATTTTCTATTTGTGCCAGGGATTTCACTTATAGAAATTTACCTCCAAAAATAAGAAAATGAGCTGGTGAGGTAGATTAGTGGGTAAAAATGCTTGCTGCCAAACCTGATCCCCAAGTTCAATACCTGGAACCCCCATGGGGGAAGAGAATTGACTCCCTGAAGTTGACCTCTGATCTCCACATGTATGCCATGGTGCACACACATGCATGTGTGTAATGGAAGAGAATATACTTGTGCTGGTTAGTTTTTATCAACTTGACACAAATTAAGTCATCTGAGGGAAAGGGACCTTAACTAAAGAATTTTCTCCATCTGATTGGCCTTGTGACTCTATCTGAGGCATATTCTTAATTGTTGACTGATGTGGGAGGGCCCAGTCCACTGTGGGCAGTGTCATCTCTGGGCAGGTGGGCCTGGGCTGTACAAGAAAAGTAGCTAAGTGAGTCAGTGAGCAGGGCTCCATGGTCTCTGCTTCCGTTCCTGGCTGGTTCCTGCTTGAGCTCCTGTACTGACTTCTGTCAGTAATGAGCTGTGACGTGGAAGTCTAAACCAAATACCCCCTCCCCAAGTTGCTTTGGTCCTGGTGTTTATCACAGCAAGAGAAACTAAGCTAGAACACTTATGCAGAAAATAATTCCGTGTGGTATAGAATGTAAGTGAAAAATGTTGGAAGTGAACGGTATACTTGAGCATCATAGCAGAGACCTCCACACAAAGGAGGGAGGATGGCTCAGCAGTTAAGAGCACTGGCTGCTCTTGCAGAGAATCCAGGTTCGACTCCCAGCAATCACATGGTGGCCAACAACTCTCCGTAACTCCAGTTCCGGGGGAATCCAATGCCCTCTTCTGACTCCTTGGGCATTGTATGACACAAGTGCACTTACACACACGCAGGCAAAATGAAATATTACAAAAGAGGAGTTTTCCCAGATCTGCCTTGATTAACGCACCTCCCAACTCTCACCAGAGAAGCTTCCTTACACAGCAGAAGATTAATGCAGAGAGCCACAACTGGCCAACATGCAGAGAACGACAGTCTGCAGAGTGCTTATCCCCGACTAGGACACCTATGTCCACCTTCTGCCTCCCAAGGTTCAGGAGTCATTGTGGAATAAGGGGCAGAAGGATTGTAAGAGCCAGAGGAGGTGGATGACCACAAGGAAGGGGAGTTTTTAACAGTCAGCTGGGCAGTTACTCATATGAACTTACAGCAGAGATGACAGCGTGCACAAGACCCATGTAAGCTCAAGCCAGATACAATCCCAGAAGAGATGTGGGGAAGTAGGTAAGAAACCTCAACCCTAGCTGAAGAACTATTGGCAACTGATTTCTTCTGGGAAGGAGAGAGGCAGTCTCTTTTAAGGGCGTGACTCTGGGTAGCTTAACCAGGCTACAGTGGGTGAACCCACATGGAAGGGCATTTGGGGGACACAAACCTGAACAGGAAATTTGGTGCGGAAGTAGTAAGGGTGGGTACAAATAGATACAGGAGAGGATCTAAATATGATCAAAATATATTGCATGAAATTTGCAAAAATTCAATAAAAATAATTTAAAAAAAGAAATAGCACCTGTCACCTGTAGCAGAGGTCTTTCAGGTAGGAAGGGAGCATACACATGTCTTGTCATTTCTACAGTAGAAAACCCAAAGCTGGGTGTGGTGCCTCACAACTATTAATTCCAGCACCTGGGAGGGCAGGGCAGGGGCTTGTGAGTTTGAAGCACATTTGAGCTTTGTAGCAAGATCCTGTATACAAAAGAACAGAAAAAGGGGGGAAATGGGGGCACCTTAATTGGGGAAATCATGATGGAGGGGTGAGACAATGCGAGAGATAAATAATGCCTAGCTAGTTTTAAAAACCAGAGGGAACCATATTACTCCTACAACCTACTGACAAATTATACATAGCAGATCAAGAAATATATGTCTAGGTAAGGTTTATCTGAGAACAATTGATCTTTGCCCAAGATTTATCTACATGGCACACAGTAATTAAAAGTACCAGACTGGTGGAACTACCTTCTTGGATGTTTAACAGACATACTTTGAGGCCTATACTAATTTTGTCAGAGGGACACAAAGGACAGTTTTTGCTCCTTGCCCTCCTAGGTCGACAAGTTCCAGGAGACCATGAGCATCTCTCAAAATGTCCTGTAATTGTGGTGAGTCACCTGTCCTCTTGATCAAGGAGGCCGAGGAGACCCCACCA